TGATTTCTTGGCTTCTACTTGTGATTCTTGTGTTGATTTGTGAGATTTGATGCATTATCTTGTGGTGATGCATGTTTAGAGCTTGTTCTTAGGGTTCTTGAATTCCATTTCTTGGGTTCAAGTCATATTGTTGTTTTGTGTGAGATTTTGGGTGTTTTGGACTTGAATTTGGATTTGTTGTTGAAAATCCCCAAAGGGATTATTTTGGTGTACAGGGTGTACCCGCGGGCGGAACGACGGGCAGGGCCCTACCCGCCACCCCACCCGCGGGGAATGTGGCCGCTCGGGTGTATGTACCCGCGGGCGGAACCGCGGGTGGTTGTCCACCCGTGGCCCCACCCGCGAGGAACGTTGTGGATTGTGGCGGGGATTTGTTCCCCGTGATTTTTTTGACTCGGTATTGATGTTTTGGCCTCTCGATGTTGTTTTATTGGGTTATTTGTGAGTCTTCTTGATGTTTCCTATGTCTAGAACGGTATGTTAGGAATCCATGTAGGATTTGGTGTCTTGAATCGTGCTAAAGGGTCCGACTTTGTTATTCGTTGGACTATTGTGAGTCTTGAATGTTCTTTGGAACTACTTTTGGTTTACCCGTTTGATAAACATGCTAGTTTGATGTTGAAATACTAGTATGTGTAGTTTGTTCTTTCTTATTGGGATTGGCAACTTGTGTTGACCTTCGCTTGGTGTCGGATTGTGATGCTTCGTTGTTGTTAGAGAAATAGGGTGTTAGTTGAGGGGATCTCTCTTAGCCTTAGTTTTAGGTATTTGAAACCTATGGCTAAGATTAGTTCTTGTCTAATATAAATAGCTCTATACTTCCTTGTACATTGACACACAGAACATATAGAAATATATAGTTGAGTTTATTGTTTACCATGGTATCAGAGCCTTGAAGGTGACTGGGTAGTGGGTGTCGGTCGGAAAGAGGAGGCGACACCGGCGGGAGAGGCGGAGCAGCCACCGGAGTCCTCACGCACCGCCACGCGCTGGCGCAGTCCTAGGGTTCCGACGCCACGCGCCGGCGCGTGGGCAGTTCTCCGGCGTCTTCTCCGGTCGCGGCTGGTACTATTGGGCTTGTCTCTGAACACCCAACGCGTCTGCAGTGGTGGTGTGCTCCGGTGTTACTGCTACGTGTTGGACTGCTGTGTTTTCAGGTTGGTCTGTTTTGTTTATTAGGGCTGAGGAGAGTGAGCAGAGGATGGAGGGCTATGTCGAGTGGTTCAGTGAGGGGTTTGGGTTCATAACCCCCGATGAAGGCAGCGAGGATTTGTTTGTTCACCAATCTGGTGTCAGCCGAGAAAGAGAGACAACCAAGAGATATGGTAGGGGAGGTCCACGAAGCTGGGTGGTCTGAGGTCCACGAAGCTGAGAAATAATTAGGCAGTAGTTTGCCGTAGTTTTCTTTTGTTTATCGTGTTCGTATTAATAAGTCTTGACCTTTGTATTTTGTTTATCATAGTTTGTCGCTCTAAATTAATTTGGTATGGGAGCAATTCTAGGGTCTGAGTTAAGTCAAGTGCAGCTTGTTCAGTGTGCGTAAACATGGGTGCTGCAGGAGTGGGTAGCACAGGTGCCAGGAGTGGGGTGGACCTGGCATATGCCACGGGGGAGGCCGACGGCTGAAGAATGATTCAGAGTGAATCAGTTTACGTGCATGCGCCAGGGAAACGTTGTAGTGTTAGGCAGCGTTGATAAGGGTTCATGGTGAGAGGGACAGGTGCACTGTGGTCTAGTTGCGCTAAGGGTTTGTGGAGTGAGAGGCAGGTACGCTGTGGTGTTAGGCAGCGGTGATAAGGGTGTGGGGAGTGAGAGGCAGGTGCGGCGCTATGGTGATTGGCCTAGTTTTTGTTGACTCCGTAGAAGTGTTGTTGGTGCGACAAGGTGCGTTGTGGACTGGTTTGGCACATCGTGGTTTGAAGGTTGTTCGAGTGGTTCAAGACTTGGGCTTATAGTCTAGGTGTGGAGTCCTATGGTTCATGTGATACATATGTAACAAGTTGGGTGCTCCAACTTGAGGGGGAGTGTTAGAGAAATAGGGTGTTAGTTGAGGGGATCTCTCTTAGCCTTAGTTTTAGGTATTTGAAACCTATGGCTAAGATTAGTTCTTGTCTAATATAAATAGCTCTATACTTCCTTGTACATTGACACACAGAACATATAGAAATATACAGTTGAGTTTATTGTTTAACAGTTGTTTAGTATGGTTTCATGTCTTTGTTGTGATCCATTAATTGATTCCTATGATATGAACGTATGTAATCGTTGTACCCTTTGATTGATACTTGATTAAGGTTATTGTGGAACCTTAGTCTTCTTGGCAATGATGATGACTTTTGTGACTATGATTTATATGTTGGTGGTTGTTACTTGAGCTTTGCTCACATGTTGGTGGTTGTGTGATATGAATCGTACCCTCGTGTACTGATATGTTGGTGGAAATGCTGGTGGTTGTTGGTGAGGGAACGACGGTTCCCGTTGGCATAAGGTTGGACTCAGAAGTACAGGAGTTACTCGGAGGTAATGGTTGGAACTGAAATAAGGTCGGGGGTAGCCATAACGTTGGAACAGGGCATAAGGTTGGAACTTGGAATTATGATTCTTGTGACATGTAGTTGTCACGGTGGCATGTAGTTGCCAATATGTGATTGTGTACTCTTTGCTAATGAGCATGTCTTGATGTATTCTACTTTGTGATCAATAGAATGCATCTCGAGTTGTATTGTCTTTCATGATTCTTGTCTTGTTGTTGTCGTAAGGATGTTGATTTCCTTCCCCTTTGAGAGTGTGAATGAGTCCTTGAAGTTGACTTCTCTCTTGGCTTTTGAAATGATATATACTGTATTCCGTTTCGAAAATGGTTTTGACTTATACTTATTTATATATGTTATTTAACACGTATTGATGGGTTACCAGCAATATTCGATGACCGGGTGTTATCCCCATGTTATGTTTTCCTTGTTCTACAGGTTTTGAGTAGATGCCCGAGAGCGCTAGACTTGGAGCGTTAGATAGCTTAGTCACCTTGTCTAGACGTTGTGTTTTGAGCGTCCTGTGTGCCTTGACTCCTTTTGACTTGTTTTTACTTTTTAGTTTTTTCGCCTGTGCATCTTTAGTATTGTAAGATGTGGCATAATGCTCCCGATTAGATTGCTTCCGCTTTATGTTTAACGAATGATTAGATTTTTTATCTCTTGCATATAAGTTTTAAAAATATAATAAAATCGGGGATGGTACACTGACTGCACGTTAAGGCGCGGGCGCACCTGAACTCTGATATATATATATATATATATATATATATATATATATATATATATATATAATGTTGAAAAAATCGCTAGGCGCCCTCTAATCATTAGAGTGGATTTAGGGATTAAGCAATCAAGTGAATTTGATGTCCGAAGTCGTGAATACAAGGGAGAAATACGAAGAATTATACATTAGGTAGATAAAATGACTACTTTACCCTTTCATTTAACGTCCAATTTATCGTAATTTGACGGAAGCACCCCAATTGAAAAAAAAATTGAAAGTCAAGGGACGTAAAGTGTCCAAATTAAAAGTCGAGGACTAATTTTGGAAAATCAATATAGTCGGAGGACCATTGCTGGAATTAACTCATAAATTATTTCTTGTTCACGAACGAATTGTGATCATGAACATGTTTATATGTTTGGTTATTAAGCATTCACGAACGTGTTTATGAACATGAACGAACATGTTAGCAAATATTAATGAACATGTTCGTGAACGTGCTTGTTAACAAACATGTTTATGAATGTGTTCGTTAATGTTAACGAACACGTTCGTGAACGTGTTCGTTAATGTTAACGAACACGTTCGTGAACGTGTTCACGAACGTTAACAAACACTAATGAACGCTTAACAAACAAACATGAACAGGATTTTCAAAAACATTAACAAACGAACACGAACGCTCCAAAAACCTTAACATACGAATACGAACAACCTCCGTTCATTTATGTTCAGTTCGTTAACAACCCTAGTCACGAAGGAACATGCAAGACGTTCGTGTGGAGAACGTTATCGACAAAAATAAGGAGCCGCGGTGATATTGTTCCGAATGTTGCTTTGAGTGTAATAGCATCTTTGCTCTTACCGGGAGGTAGGACGGTGCATTCCAGATTTGCTATACAACTCTCTTTGAACGAAGATTACATGTGCAATATATCGCAAGGCAGTGACCTTGCTTAGCTTATAATAAGGAGCAAATTGATAATATGGGATGAAGTATCGAAGACACACAAACATTGTTTTGAGGCTTTGGATAAAACCATGAGGGATCTATTAAGGTTCGCCATACCGGGTAGTGCTGAAAAAACATTTGGTGGAAAGACAGTAGTTTTTTTGCTGCGATTTTAGACAGATTCTTCCCGTTATTCCGAAAGCACCTTGAACAGTAATTGTCGGAGCCACTATTAATTCTTCGTAGATCTGAATGAATCGCAAGGTATTGAGGCTCACAAAGAACTTGAGACTACAGAGCTTAGCTTCTAAGGAAGATAGACACACGGTCGCGGATACTGTTTAAGAACGGTCGCGGATACTGTTTTAAAAAATAATAAAAAAATAATTTTAAAATTATATTTCTTTTAAAAATAATTTTTAATAAATTAATTGATTTAAAAACTCCCTAAATTTTTATTCAAAATCCTATACAAAATCTATTGTGCTATTTGATAAAGCATAGAATTCCAATCAGTGTATACCAAGAGCTGCAACATTATCTAGCATTCTAGCTAACGAGTCATTAAATTCTTCTATGCAAAAAATGCAGTAATAAGAGAAGTACTTCAATACAATAATATCATCAAAACATGTCCAACTCAATACTATCATCAAAATAAAATACTTTTTATCAATAAAATAAAAGTTATAAGCACTCGGAAAAGAAGTACTTTGACCAATGCTCTCGAAGCTCATTTATGTCGTCGATAGAATACGGACTATCGCTCTCAAATGCCTAAGACTTTTCTCATGTCTGCTGGATCAATTACACCGTCATCCCAAAGTCTTGATGTAAAGTAATACGGATCACCCTCTCTGTCATATCTCTCTTCAATTTTTGCCTTGAAACTTTCCTCTTCTGCCTTTCCCCACTGCATAAATAAAGTGCATTGTTAGCTGTTGCTCCAAGCACACAGATTATGTACAAAATATTATGTTATACCTCAATTCCCAGCCTTTTCTTGTTGGCCTTTTCTATCTGAGCGAGTACATCGGCAGCCTAAAAACATGGTAGGACGTAAATAAATCATGTTAAGCTTAGTTTCAGATATATAATGTACATAAATCATGTTTGCAATAGGACATCTAAATAATTACTTACCTACAGAAGGATGACACTGATAGCAAAACTTTTCCGTTCTGATATCGCACCCATGTTATACCTGTAAAAGCAAAGAGAGGAGAATTTATTAAGACATTGCATTCAATGACATGAAATACAAAATATAAAGACCGGATAAACAGAAGGTTTGGGCAGAAAAGAAGCCCTTATTACTTATCCTTTTTAAATTTCATTCTTCTTCTGAATTTGCTACAAAATTGAATCCCAGTTAAACCACTGGGTCCCTAACTTCATGACTAGAAACAAAAGCGATGCATATGTTAATATATACCATCACACTAAAGTATACTTAAGCCTGAACCCATGATATGCAGAAACTATACCCCTTTCTCTCTTTTCTATTCATCTGAAATGTCTGCACTGAATCTTTCATTTATGTATTTCTTAAGTTCCCCAACACTGTTTGAGCTTAAATGGCATTCTCTTTGACAAACTAATTATGGGGAGCTAATAAAAAACCAAATGGCAAAGGAAAGCAATTAAGCAGCGAAGCATTAAAAAGCTTACAGCTTTTCGAGAAGGGCATCGGTCATTTCAATACGAAACGGATCTCTTGCGTCCATTTGCTTCAGTATATTCACCAGCTTCTGTGTCATTCTACACAATCCCGAATACCTAATTTCACCAAAATTAAATTAAATTAATAAGTAATAACACAAATATTTACTCCATATCTAATCTAATTTGAACAGATATAACTAATTTTGTAGATTAACTTTAAAAAACACATATGAGGAATGAGTTGAGACTGTAGCTTCTGCCATGATATACGTGATTGGATATATAGTTAAATCCTTATGGCTAAAAATACAACTTAAAATTTGTAGTTACCAATCTGGAACCCAAAAATATCATAGTCAAGTTTCAACCTTGGGACCTTTGAGTTATGACCCATCGTGTTTCTGCTGCGCCACTTTGATTTATGGCTTTAAATGTTGTTTAGCCACACTAAATATTTAGAGATGAATTCATGAATTGTATATTTATACTCCATACTAAATATTTAGAGTCGAATTCATGAATTCTATATTTATACTCTATAGTCGGTAGGCGGCAATCATTATTGTGTGGACCATGATCCACACAAGCCATATTTTGTATATTGTAAAATAATGTACATTCAGTACAAAAATAATGTACATTGAATTAAGGGGATGTAAATTATTTTTGTACTGAGTATAAATTATCTTGTATAATGTACATTTTGAGCATACAAAAATAATGTACATTTAATATATTAAAAATGTATATTTTATTGTGGTCCACATAACAATGTGTGGACCATGGTCCAAACAATAATTTGCCGCGGCCACGTAAGTTCAAAATGTGCTGCTCTATTCAACATGGGCCTCCTCTACTTTTACAATCCAAACCCAATCAAAATTTTTGTATTGGACCAATTTTAGCATTGCACCACCACTGCAATTATTATTGTGTGGATCATATTTTGTACACTGTAAAATAATGTATATTCAATACAAAAATAATGTACTTTTAAAAAAAATGTACTTTTAATATATTAAAAATGTACATTATATTTAGGGGATGTACATTATTTGTTTGCTAAGTGTACATTATATTATATAATGTACATTCAATATACAAATTAGGGATGACAACGAGACATGGCGGAGGCGGCGAGTATATTCCCCGTCCCCGTCCCCATCCCCATTCCCGACGGGGAATTGAAAATAGTCTCCATCCCCGTCCCCGCGGAGAATTAGGTGGGGACGGAGATTCCCCGTCCCCAGTAACTCCTTGTCAAAATTTTAAATTATTGTAAATTTTAATTTTAAAAAATTAATATATATATATATATATATATATATTATTTATTATTATTATTATTATTTTATTTTTTAATTATAATAATTAATCGGGGACGGCACGGGTCAGGGAGGGGTATCCTCATTCCCGTCCCCGTCTCCGATCCCCGAAATTTTTCCCCGTCCCAGTCCCCATCCCCGACGGGGACGGGGATTCCTAACGGGGACGGGGCACATTGACATTCCTAACACAAATAATGTACATTTAGCATATTAAAAATGTATTTTTTATTATAGTCCACACATCACTGTGTGGACCATTGTGTCGACCATATTTTGTCTACTGTAAAATAATGTATATTCAGTACAAAAATAATGTACATTGTATTTAGAGAATACACATTATTTTTATTTTGAGTGTATATTATATTGTATAATGTACATTCAATACAAAAAAAATTATACATTTAATATATTAAAAATATACTTTTTGTTATTATCTACATAACATTGTGGACCACGGTCCATACAATAATTTACCGTATTTAAGGGGCATGAAGGCTAATTACTCCACCAGGAAAGGATTATGAAATAAGATATTACTTCACTATGAATATAATGCTCCACTTATTATCTTCTATTATAAAAATGGTCTATGATCAGCGAAAAGGAAGTTGTTATACAGTGAATCATAGTCCACAATGCTAGGTGAACTATAGTAATAAAATAAAATTGTAGTAGAATTAAAATGATACATTGATACTTCAGTGTTGCTATAATGAAACTAGTGTGTGGAAAATGAAACTTAAAAACAGAGCTTATTCAACAATGTATATTGTCAAATGAAATTGTAGTATAATTAAAATGATACTTTAGTATTGTTATATTGAAACTAGTGTGTATGGAAAATGAAACTAAAATTCAGAGTCATACAATAACATATATCGTTATATGAACCTAGAGTGTAATTAAAATAGTACTTTAATATTACTATAATTAAACTAGTGTGTGTGGAAAATGAAACTACAAAATAGAGCTCATGCAATAACGTATATTGTCAAATGAAACTATAGTAGAATTAAAATGATACTTTGGTATTGCTATAATGAAACTAGTGTGTGTGGAAAATGAAATTGAAAACCAGAGCAATATTGTCAAATGAAACTAAAGTGTAATTAAAATGATACTTACTTCATGGACCACACTACTACACGCACCATGGGCACAGTAAAATTTGCCGCGAAAAGGATGGACCATGAGTCCATAACAATCCTTTCAAGCAAATTATTATGTGGACCCGGGTCGAAAGATACACAATTTACATACTAAATGTTCACAATTTATCTTTTAAATATTCACAATTTGTGATGACCTTGTATTGTATTCACAAATTCTCAAAACTTAGAAACAACATTTATATTCTAAAAGTTCACAATTTCAATACACAATTTAGAACCAGGGTCCACCTTGCAAGGTGGACGGGTCGACGGTATAACAAATGATACTTCCATCCTTGGGCTCAACCAAATTTCTATACACTCCCATAAATTACATGAAATTATTCTTAGTTTAAGCTTTCTATAAATGTACATGTACAAATACTCCAAATATTGTAATGAAATTCATAATAACATCACCCAAAAAGTCCAATGATTTTCATGTGAAAATTACTTCTTTTTAGGACTCTATTATCCATATTAGACTAGGATTATATTATTCGTGTTAGACTAGGATTCTATCTAACATCTTTATATATTCGCTCCCTGTACTCTCAGACATTATCATTGAATACAGATACAGAAAATATATTCTCATCTGGTATCAGCTAGGTTTTTCCATGGAAAATATCGGTGTTAGCCTCTCATCGGCTCATCACTTTGTTTCGTTAAAGTTGACCTCCCAGAATTATCTATTCTGGCGGACTCATATATTTTCTGTATTCAATGATCAACCTGCCGTGCCCGTAACCAGGTCCAACCAGCACCACGATCAGCCCGCCTCTGTCGAGCCGTCCGTGACCGAGTCCGAGCGGACAGTCACGGACCAGCCACCTGCTCAGTCGAGAGGTCGACCCCGTAGTCGATCTCGTCTCATTATCTCACCCGTTCGGTCTCATGGGATGAATACGCGGAGCTCGGGGCCGCATGATCATGTTGCTCTATCCACTGATGTCACTATTGAGCCTACATGTTTTACTCAAGCGGTCAAATTTCCCGAATGGCGGCATGCAATGGATTTGGAATTTAATGTCTTGATGCACACCAATACATTGCGGCTCGATCCTTTTAAATCAGGTATGAATGTGGTTGGCTGCAAGTGGGTGTTTAGAACCAAGAGAAAAGCTTATGGTTCGGTTGAGCGTTACAAGGCTCGATTAGTTGCCAAGGGATTCAATCAGGTTACCGGTGAGGATTTCTTTGAGCCTTTTAGTCCCGTGGTTAAACCGACTACGGTACGACTTCTCTTATCCTTAGCTATTTCTCATGGATGGACTATTCGACAGTTAGACATTCACAATGCTTTCCTAAATGGCAATCTTGCTGAGACGGTTTATATGCGCCAGCCCCCTGGCTATGAAGACAAAACGATGCCCGAGCACGTTTGTCTCCTTCAACGTTCTTTGTATAGGCTTAAGCAAGCTCCCCGCGCCTGGTTCACGGGTTTGCCCCACCTTCTGTGCCCAAACTCTGGTGTGATAATCTGGGAGCTACTTATCTATGTACTAATCCGGTGTTTCATGCTCGCACCAAGCACATTGAGATCGACTACCATTTTGTTCGTGATAAAGTAGCAAAGAATGAATTACAAGTCAATTCTATTTCTACTAAAGATCAGATAGCGGATATTTTTTTACTAAGTCTCTTTCGTCTGTACGTTTTTATTTACTCTGTTCCATGCTCAATGTTTTGGCTGACCAAACTTGTGCTTGAGGGGGAGTATTAGGACTCTATTATCCATATTAGACTAGGACTATATTATTCGTGTTAGACTAGGATTCTATCTAACATCTCTATATATGCGCTCCCTGTACTCTCAGACATTATCATTGAATACAGATACAGAAAATATATTCTCATCCTCCTGTTTATTTATTATTTATTATTTATTCATATGTTATTTTTTAATTTATGTTGAATCATCCTCAATAAAATCAGCATTGAGTACAATAATTTTTTTAGGAAACATTTAATTTGTTACTTGAACCTACTTTTAACCTAACACGTAGAAAATGAA